AGCTTCTTTAATAAATAATACTGGAGGCTGAGGATTTAGCTCAGTGGCATAAGCGCCTACCTTGCAGGCGTGCAGTTGTGAGTTCGATCCCTGGTACTGATTAAAAATAAAAAGCAAATAAATAATGCTGGAAAAACAGGTTTTCCACATGCCAAAGACTAAAACTAGACCCACGTCTGTCACCACACACTAAACTAAAATTGAAATGGACCTGAGAGCTAAATAATGAACAGAAACACTAGTTGAGCATGGTGAGGCAAGCCTGTAATCCCAGCACTCAGGAGGCTGAGGCAGGAAGATGGCCATGAGGTCAGAGCCAGACTGGGCTACACAGACAAAGTTCAAAAGCAGCCTGACCCTGCCTCAGGAAACAGAAGCACTAGGTCTGTGCAAAAGAGAGAAAAGGTAGAACTCTTCAAGGCATAACTATAGGCAAAGACTTTATGAATAAAACTTAAATTGCATGAAATATTGCAAAGAACAATCAACTGGGACCTCCTATTAAAGTTTTTTCACAGCAAAAGAAATCATCAAAAGAATGCAGACAACCCACAGAATGGGAAAAAGTTTTAGTCAATTGTTCCTTGGACAAAGGAAAAATAGCTAGAAAATACAAAGAACTGAAAAAAAATCAGAGCTCCCCAAACCTGAAGATCCAATCTAAAAACAAGGATCTGAGATGAATACACACTTGTTAAATGAAGTATAAACAGCAAACAAAAATATTACAAAATGTTCAACAGTACTGGTCTTTCAAAGGATACAAACTAAAACAATGCTGAGGTTCTATCTCACTTCAGAAAGAATGGCTACTATCAACAAATCAATTAATGCTGGTGGGCTGTAGGGAAAAAGAAACATTTTTCAGGAGGAGTATAGACTGGCACAAACTCTGTGGAAATCAGTGTGGAGAGTCCTCAAAAAACTAAAATTAGCAGTCTGGTGTGATCCAATCATTCCCTTTCTGGGGATATCTTCCCAGAAGAATTAAAAACATCATACCACAGCGATATATGCACACCTATGTTTATAGTGGCACAGTTTCTAATAGCTAAATCATGGAAATAACTCAAACGCCTATCGACTGATGAATGAATAAAAAAGATACTTTTTTAATACTATGGAACACTACTCAACCATAAAGGAGTATATACTCGGACATGTCTAGGAAAATGGATGCACCTTGAGAAAATATTCTTAAGTGAAATAAGTCAGACATATGGCTAAGAATTGCACTGTCTCTCTGGAGTGAGAAACTGAATGTAAAAAAGAACAAAAATGTATGATAGAGAGCTTCCGGGAGAACATGGCGGACAGATAACAGCAGCTACGGAGGTTCTCTGAAAGACTCGGCTCAGAAGTCAGGAAGGGTGCGGAGTAAGGAGACATAAGCCAGTGGAGATATGCTCTGCTGACTCAGGAAGGAACCGGGCTGAGAGAAACCAACTTGGAATGCAGTCCTGGTGCTAAAACAGGAACAGAAAAGCCTCAGTGTGGAGGGTGGAGCCTGCGCCATTGGAAGCCACGATTTGGGTTTCCCGCCACATGGCGGCTGCCTCTACGTCAGCTCGGCAAGGAGACATGTGGAAGCTCTGAGAATGGGGGGGTCTGCGAACGGAGTCGAAAACAGGACGGCAGGGAGGCGTGCACTGGTGAGGTGAGTGAGAGAAACTGACACTCTAACACAGTTTGACTCCAGCGGAGGTCATTCTGGGCCGGGGCAATCCTGCGCGAGCAGGGCACAGTGGCGACTTCAGCCACACATCCCCCTCTCAGGCGGGATTAGTGAGGGGTGCCTAGCCTGCGTGACGCTGCTGGCGGACCCAGTAGGCTACCCAACCCAGATCCCAGAGCCTGACAGTGGCCGGGAGGGGTGGGCCCGCATAGGCTGCCTGGTCTGGAACTTTCTGGTGTGCTGCAGTGGGTGGGAACACCTAACCGGCACAATTCGATCAGGCTGTGGCTCACAGGGAGGGAAGCTGAGCGTCCTATGTAAGCTTGCATATATAAGAAACAGAGAATATGGGAAGAGGCAGCAACAAGAAAGGCTCCTCGGCCCCCAATTCTGAGAAACAGGTAATAGCGGACACCGCACCAATAGACATAAAGCGCCATATAGAGAGCCTCATAGATCAGTTCAGGAATGAAGTTATCAATGACCTGAAGCTAGAAGTATGCAGAATAGTTAGAGAAATGCTAAGCACCCCACAAGAAAAAACAGATGGTGGAATGGAAGAACAGAAAAAGAGGGGAGAATTGTTCGATGGAGAAAACAGAGAAAGCATAGAATACGTGAAGCAGGTTCAAAGGGACTATCAAGAAACTAAGAACTCTATCGAAAACTGGCACAAAAGCTTGAAAGAAACTAAGGACAGACTATCTGAACTGGAGGGCAGATTTGTAATATGGGAGAATGAAATGAAAAACTTCTTAAAAATAACAAAGAAATAAACAGCAATAATACAAAGACAAGAAGATGATAAGAGGATCCATAACTTAAGGATTAAGAACATAAAAGAAGAAGTAGGGACACAAACAAATGAACTACAAAAGCTACTCACAGAAATAATCCAGGAGAATTTTCCTAATTTAGCAAAAGGTAAAGATACTCAGATGTATGAGGCATACAGGACCCCAGCTACCTACAACCCAAACAGAGCAACACCCAGGCATATAATAATAAAAATTCCAGAAATTCAATACAAGAACAGAATATTAAAAGCTGTCAGAGACAAGAAACAGACCACTTACAAGGGAACACCCATCACAATTACAGCAGATTTCTCTGCACAAACCATCAAATCATGAAGAGCGTGGGGGGGAATAATTCAAGCTTTGAAAGATAATAATCTCCAGCCAAGATTGAGATATCCTGCACAACTGTCCCTGGAAATTGATGGAAAAACAAGGTGCTTCCAGGATAAAGAGGAACTGGGGGAATTTGCAACCACCAATTCAACTCTACAGAGTATTGCAGGATATTCTAAAAAAAGAAAAATACAAAGAATCCAGAAATAGTGGCGGGGAAGCCACAATGAATGGAGCAGAGAACAAAATGAAGACAAACTGACTGCTACTGACAGAAAAAGAGCTCAACAGAAATGAGGCAGAGAAGATTGGATGATAGGAACAGCTATTTTGGAGAAAATGACACCTTAATAGGTAATACTGATCTAGTATCATCTTGTTTTGAAGTCTCATCAAGCTTTTGTTCTTCTGTCTTCATTGGTCTAAATAGGTTGTATCTTATTGGATTTTATTATGTACGATAGTATAAGCAAAAACCTTTTAAAGACAAGGAGATTATACAGAAACCATTGTTCATTTTGTTAGTCGATTCTAAATACCCTGTAATGCTGTCATTCTCTTAAATGGTTTTACATTGTTTTGATATATTTAATGCTACAGTATATGAAGTTGTACTCAAGGAATTGAAGGAAAGAGACAATATGGTAACTACTATTATGTCAGGATTATCTGGTGGTGAAACACTATTCTGCTTAAATGGTTATGTTTTGATCTGCGCTGTTTTGCTGTTATGCCCTCTTTTATCTCAATCTCCACTCCATTATTTACTTTTTTATTTTTATCCTTTTAATTAAGGGAAAAATAAATAAAAATAGCAGGATATATTATAGTAACCCACTTTGACTTTCCATTATCTCGATTTAAAGCCCTGTATTACTCTCACCATCTTGTTTTTGACTGATGTTCCCCTATTCTGTTTTGCTGGATAGTATCAGGTTGGAAAGTTTAGGCAACAGCTGTGAAGATAATGAGATTCATTAAGACGCCCATTCTCGTTGACTTTTATCTACTTTTGAAGACCTACAATGTCTCCAATGTTTTGGTTTTGTCGGTTTTGTTCTTTACTGTTTTGTTCAATTGTATTATAACTAACGATATAGGCAATTCTATTAGAGATAGCGGGAGACATTATGGTAACCATTGTTGATCACCTTGTATTATGTTTTTACATTATCTATTATGTCCACCCTTTTGATTTGACTGACTCTGTTCTGTTATGTCACATTTGGTTTTACTCTCTTCCAAAAAAGTAATAAGAACCGTGGGAGCAATGAAACCCAAAATGTGTAATAGTCATTGTACAAAAGAGGAAAAGAAAGTGCTCTAAACTATATAACTGCATGTATATTTAAGTGTATAAGATAGAAAATATCACTGAGTTTTATTAGATCATTGAACAGAACTGTTTGCAGTATCATTGTTGGAATGTCCACTTTATAAGCTTTAATTTTGTGACTTGAACAATTATTTCTAAGATGACAATATGTAATCCATTAACTAGTGATTTCCTACTGTTTTTTTTTTCTGTAAATCTGTATAACTTGTACCCTTTCTCTGCTTTTTTTTTCACCTTAAATAAAATTTTAAAAAAATGTATGATAGAAATTGTGAGATGGGGGCTGGGGATTTAGCTCAGCAGCATAGGCACCTGCATTGCAAGCAGGCAGTCGTGAGTTCGATCCCCGATACCAATAAAAAGAAAAAAGAAATTGTGAGATGATGCTGGGCGTGGTGGCTCACGCCTATAATCCCAGCACTCGGGAGGCTGAGGTGGGAGGATCGTTGACCGGCCTGAGTTTGGGACCAGCCTGGGCTACAAAGTGAGCTAAAGGCCAGCCTGAACTGCGTAGCAAAACCCCGTCTCAAAAAAGACCAAAAAAAAAAAAAAAAAAAAAAAAGAAATTGTGAGATGAAATAGGAAAAAATTACTCCAAGAGAAAAGGGAACTAGAAAAAGAAGGGAAAAGAATAGTGAGAAAAGGAGGATAAATGGAAACAAAGCTTTGTAAACCAGGAGGGGAAGAGAGGCTGAAGGAAGGGGGAGGAAAACGTGAAGAGCACAGATTCCCTAAGATGAATGTCATCATTATTATATCTAAATTGTACCAATATAAAATAACAATCCCAAAATTTTAAAAATATTATTCAGTATCAATTAGGGAAAGTCGTACAATAATTTCTTAATTTTCAGAATGAGTTCCTTGTGGTTTTATTTACATATTTAAACAAAAAACTCATACATCATAGAAAAGTCAATTGTTCATCATATCTGAGATTTTTACACCATTTTATAAATAAAAAGTTTCAAATCTGGAATGTGGCTTTCCACGAAACATTCTTTCCACAGGAAATGCTTCCGGATTTGGGAAACCTCAGCATGAGCACCCAGTCTTCACAAGGACACCTCCGCTCGGTGCATTCACTTCTCATTTGTCATTCTCCTCTCTGCGAAAGTTTGCGTGCCTGGCCTCTGGCACTGTTCACACACTCATCCCAAAGGACTGCTCTCTCCCCTTGGTTTTTTGTCTATTTTTAGCACATCCTGCCTGTGCCTGTGCAGCCTCTGAGGCCTCTGGGATGCCCACTCCTGTGAGAAGGCTTCCAACGCTCACTTCATCACTCGCATCTCACCATTGTGAGTTTTTCTGTGGATGCGAAGCCCTGAGTTCCAGCAGAAAGACTTTCCACACTCAAAGCACTTCCATGGCTTCTCTCCTGTATGCACTCTCTGGTGTTCACTGAGGGAGGATTTCTGAGTAAAAGCTTTCCCACACTCACTGCACTTGAAAGGTTTCTCTCCTGAATGGGTTTTCTGATGAATCTGAAGGGATGCCTTCCTTGGATAGGCCTTCTCACATTCACTGCACTCATAGGGCTTCTCTGTTGAGTGGGTTCTCTGGTGGATGATCAGCTGTGACTTCCCACAGAAGGCTCGTTCACACAAGCTGCACTCATAGGGCCTCTCCCCCGTGTGCGTCCGCCTGTGAATAACGAGGTAGGACTTGCTGCTGAAGGCCTTCCCACACTCACTGCACCCATAGGGCTTCTCTCCTGCATGGGCTCGAAGGTGAGCAGAGAGCTGCTCCTTCCTCCCAAAAGCTTTCCCACACTCACTGCACTGATAAGGATTGTTTCCCGTATGGACACCCTGATGCACCACAAGCTGTGTCTTCATGTTGAAGGCTTTCCCACAGTCCCCGCACTGGTAGGGCTTCTCTCCTGTGTGCATTCGGACATGAACCAGGAGGTAGGACTTGCTTCTAAAGGACTTCCCACACTCATTGCACTTATGTGGTTTCACTCCAGTGTGAGTTCTCTGGTGTACAACAAATGGGGACTTCAAGCTAAAGGCTTTCCCACATTCACCACATTCATAAGGCTTCATGCCTGTGTGACTTCTCTGGTGTAAAACAAGCTGAGACTTCCAACTGTAGGCCTTGCCGCACTCACTGCATCCGTAGGGTTTCCCTCCATTGTGGACTTCCTGGTGGACAATGAGCTGTGACCTGAAAGAGAAGACTTTCCCGCATTCACTGCATGTATAGGGCTTCTCCCCTGTGTGAACTCTCTGGTGGGCATTAAGGTTTGACTTAGCACTGAAAGCTCTGTCACATTTAGTACATGCGTAAGGCCTCTCCCCTGTATGGATACGGAGATGGACGATGAGCTGTGACTTACAACGAAAAGCTTTCCCACATTCATTACACACACAGTTTTTTTCTATGTGGTGAGCTCTTTGATGTTTAAGGAAATATGATTCCTCATAACCATGAAATTTATCAGGATTCTTTCTTATATAACTTCTGCTAAAACCTGAGTTTTTCATCAAGCTTCTCACATGTGCATGATACCTATAGAGCCTCTGTCCAGAAGAAACAGGGGTTTTGCTTAGATGAAGTTTTCCAAGCACATTGCATGCATAGCTTCTCTTAACACTTTCAAGTTCATCTTGATTTTTCTGGTACCATTCTTCCCAACCTTTCAAGAAAAAAACAATACAAAACCATTCAGAGTTTTAAAATTCTGATATAGAATTGAAATACGTTTCAAAATACCTAAAGTTGTATAGTATGCATAAGGCTTTTTACTTCAATACACAGACAAAAAAAAAAGCAGTAGTGAGTTTTCTTCCTTTTTTAGGTAACAGGCCTAGGACATGGGTTCAGATGAAGTACTGGTCAACAAAAGGGGCAAGGGTACTGAATCTAACCAGACTAGATCTCTTCTTGTTTGTGAGATGGTAGTGAATTAATGGTAGTAGAAAAATATTTTTGACAGGTTTTTCAAAAAAGGGTTAGGATTAGAGTTCTCATACCTATATCCCAGGACTCTGGGAGGCTAAAGCAATAGGATTGTGAATTCTATCCCAACCTGGGCAATTTAACAACTTAGAGAGACCCTTTCTCTAAATTTAAAAAAATACAAAAGGGGCTCAGTACAAAGGCCCTGGGTCAACATTCAGCTTCATAAAAAGAGGTGTTTAAAAATTTCTCCCTGCATTTAAAGGCCAATTCCCATTTTATATCTGAACTACAAGACATATAATAAGTAGGGCAAGGCCTTTAGGTCTGGAGACAATGAGACATCAGGGTGTAGATGAGCTAAAAAGTTAATACTTCAAACAGAAAAAAACACCAAGCGCAAAGTTACTGAGGAGGGAGGCTGCTTGGAATGGTTTAAGAAACAGAAAAGGTCTAGGATGGCCACAACCCACAGTGAACAGAGGAAAACAAGCAGCAAATTGTGCAAGGGCACAGGAAAACATTGTCACTGTATCTAAACATTATCACTTTATCTTAAAGGAGATCACAATCAATACTTCTCTTTAAAAGACCTGTTTTAGGCTGGGCATGGTGGCTCATGTCTGTAATTCCAGCACACCTGTAATCCTAGGACTTGGGAGGCTCAGGCAGGAGGATCGTTGCAAATTCGAGACCAGCCTGGGTTACAAAGTGAGCTCATGGCCAGCCTGAACTGCATAGCGAGACCTTGTCTCAAAAAGACATAAAAAGAGAACTGTTTCATTGTTATGTAAAAAATAAACAGCAAAAAAGGAAGACAGAAACACTAGAAAGTCTCCTTATAGCAGCCCAGTATGGAACATTAACGGCTTAGGCTACACTCTTGGAGCTGAGAGGAGGGAGGGGTTAACAGTGGCAACAACAAAGTGGGTTGATCTGCAAAACAGCAGGGGAGCATGCCAGAGAAACACCAAGGATGCTCTTGGGTGTGGTGATGAACACTCAAATGCCAGTGGCATGTCAGACCTGAAATCAGCTCTCAATGAAAGGCAGGGTAAACTGTAAAAATCAAAGGACAAGAGGCATGAGACTGTCCAGGGAAAAGCACTGCGCGTTAGGTGATACCATCTTGGGACCAAACAGCACTCCCTGCTGACTTATGGTAAACAGGGGCAAAAGGGAAGACATCAACAAATGGAAGCCTGCTGAGCACCCTGGTCTGTACAGTTAAGAACAAGAGGTGTTTTTTTGTTTTTTTGTTTTTTTTAGTATTAGGAATTGAATTCATTACCTTGTGCTTACCAGGCAAGTGCTTGAGCCACTGAGCTACATCTACAGCAGAACATGGGGTATTAAAACAAAAAGCATGGAATCAGTGAGGTAAGAGGATCATGAGTTGGAGCCCAGTTGGACTTAGATGCTGACCCCCAAAATAAGAAGGTTAAGGGATGTAGCTCAGTGCAAAGGCCCTTGGTTTTATCCCCAGTACTAAATAAAAAAATAGGCATGTGGTCAGCCTCTAGCAGGTTCCCTACTTCCTTTATGCATCCTAAACAGCCTCATCCCAACAGTGGTGATAAGGTACAGGTTATGCCCCCTGAAAGTGAAGCCATTAAACTCATGCGTGAGAGATGAGACTATTATGATTAATGATTAGCAGTCAGAAGAAAGGATGCTTGGGCTTAAAATCATATCTAGATAACTCTTGGTTGCACTATTGGCCTAACAGAATTGATCAGAAACAAAAACAAAACAAATCTCACTATATAAAGACTGCACTAGGGTGGTGACGCTAGCCTGTGATTCCCACACTTAGGAGGTTGAGGTAGGAGATTTTCTCAAATTCAAGGACAGACTAAATTACAGACTGAGACCCTGCCTCAAAACAAACAGGCTGGGTATGGTGGCACACACTTATAATCCCAGTTCTCAGGGGCCTGAGGCAGGAGCACGGCTGGAAGTTTGAGACCAGCCTGGGCCACAGATTGAGTTCAAAGCCAGCCTGAACTACATAATGAAACCCTATTTCAAAAGACTACCCCCTCTGGGGCTGGAGATTTAGCTCAGCGGCATAAGCGCCTGCCTTGCAAGCAGGCAGTCGTGAGTTCGATCCCTGGTACCGAAAAAGACAAAAAAAAAAAAAAAAAAAAAAAAACTACCCCCTCACAAATAAATAAATAAATAAAACCAGAAAACAAAACAAAGACTATAAGCCTATTCAGCTTGGAAGGAAATTGCAAGTCTGGTATGAATCTGTAACTTTTTGACTTTTTTTTGTGATGGTGGTAATGGAAATCAAATCCAGCGGCTCAAGCATGTTGAGCAGGTGCTCTATCATAGAGCTATATCCACTGTCCTATCTTCAACCCTAAATACTCTAAAATACAAGCCAGGCACAGTGATGAATGCCTATAATCTTAGGAATCAGGAAGTTGAGACAAAAGGATTACCACAAATTCAAGGTCAGTCTGGGCTGCATAGAGAGTTCTTTTGCCCCTGTTTAACCCAGCCTAAACTGCACAGCAAGACCCTGTCTAAAAAACAAATGAAGACAATTCCCCCCACCCAAAAAGAACCAAAAACCCTACTCCCACAGGAATAACCTGCTGTTTAAATCGAAGAACCCCATGGCATAGGTGCTCTCTCAAAGTTCGTCTCAGTTTAAGATCCACAGAGGATGACAGAAAAGAACTCTTTTCAAGTCAAGTGCCAGATGTTGTCAATTTGGCCAGCCAATTTGATGATGAGGATCCAGGATGAGGCTCTTCCCTGATCTTTTCCTGAAGGAACTGTATGAAATGCACCAACAATAAATGTTCTCATCCCTTCTGGAAAGATTTCCCTTGCTTGAAACAGGTGCCTTTTAACTATTTGACTCGGATCATGAGGGCTTCATCTACCTCTGTTAGACAGTACCACATATACCTCAGGCCTTGAAATTGGATTCTGGCCCAGAATGACAACATGTACTGTTCCTTTCTGAGAAAGGGTGATCATACCTCATAGCAACACAGGTATCTCTGAAGCTGGACAACTGGAAAGAAGGTACTGCAGAACTGCTCAAGGCATATAACTATCATTTGAGGCTGTGAGTTCCTTATCATTTTGCTATAGTTAGGTCAGAAATGTGAGGATCTGTGCTTTCTGTAAGCAAATCCCACAAGAACAGCTAAGGAAAAGATGAGAGTTCTCAAATATGTTTAAGAATCTACAGTTGATGTGGTAGTACCCTCCTATAATCTCAGCATTTAAAGGCTAAGGCAGGACTACTGTGAGTTCAAGGCCTGCTTAGGCTATGTACTGAGTTTAAAGCTAGCCTGAGCTACACAGCAAGACCTTATCTTAAAAAAAAAAAAAAAAAAAGAATCCATACTCTCCAGGTAAGACAAAACACTAATCAAGTGGTGTAGGTAACAAATGAGTAGACATATGATGTCAGGTTTCAAAAGACAAAGTACTAACAGAAACAGAAGCAGTAGAAAGATTAAGGAATGACAGGGTCCCAAACTGAGCCACAGAGGATACAGGCCCACATGCAACAGCAGCAACATTAAGATGGGGGAAAGCCCTGGGTTCCAGTCCCCAACAACAACTAACACACACACACACATATACACACACCATGAGGAAGGTAGGGAAAAATGCTGTCTTTGCAAGAAAGTTCCTTCCCATTTCTGATGCCAGAGTGAAGTTTTGGAAATTACAGGGGAGCTCTCTTGCAGATGCAAAGACCAAGTACAGCAGAAACAGAAGAAAAGATCATATTTGCTGTTAAAACAGTGGGGAGATTTCAATCTTCAGAATGAAGGAGGCACTCAATAGTTATAACACAGAAGATGTTTCCACAGGCTGAGTGTAGAAAGCAAACTCCTTTGGTCCAACAAAAGGTAAGTGAAGGTCACAAAAATTCTCAGTGACATACATATACCAGTTGTAGGATCATGGGTTAAATCTAAGCAGTTTAACAGTGGAAGCAAAAGGGCAAATCAAAGTAAAGGAAACAGAGGGGGATGAGTCTCACCAAGTGAGAGGAAGGAGAAACCCTTGGAAGATCTTGTTCATCTTGGGAAGGAAGGAAACTAATCCAGAAGGTGGGTTCTGAGCAACATTTAGGGAAGAGGACCATGCCCATCTCTAGGAGCCAGGATAGGAAGGGGAGCCCAACATCTGAGGAATTCAGGTGGCAGCTACTGGATTAACCCATCAGCCACATCCATTCAAGGGCTTTCCAGAGCTTTTGTGCTCAGATGATATGGTGCCGAGGCCCAAGGAGCAGCCAGTTTATTCCACAGCCTCCTGGTTCTCACTCACCCACCTGCACACCTCTGAGTGGACATTTTGGCATTTATTATCCATGGCTCTTCTCCTTGCTCCATCTTGAAGATTAAATCAGGTTTATTACCATGATACCCTGTTAATGGAAAAATCACAATGGATGCAGGTCAAGGTAAGGATCAGACTACAGACTCACAAGCTACAAAATAAAACGGATCATTAGTACTTAGAGAAAGATTATAACTAGGGGGTAAGGGCCGAATGAGGACCAAGAACATATGACATCTAAAGTTCCTGTTCACAGTCATAAAATACTTTTGAGGACCCACGATAGATCAAGGAAAGAAAGGCAGATAGCAACTCATGACTTGACCTGAGACAGGCAAGGAAGCTGCACTTACCCACTGATAACAAATTGTTGTAGTTTTCCAGGGTCACCTCCCTGTACAAGTGCCTCTGTGCTGAATCCAGTAGCTGCCACTCTTCCCAGGAGAACTCCAGGGACACGTCCTTGAATGACAATAATCCCTGCAAAAACATATACCCCATTCAGCTGGATGCAATTACATGAAGTGACATGGGAAAGAGAAACATCCCTCCATAGCATCTCCTGGGCTCAGCATTTACTTTGTAGGAGAATACAATCAACCAGTCAATCAATCAATCAATCATTGAGCCTCTATATGGCAGATACTCTTTGTATCCTGGGTCCTAAAGATTTCAAGATGTGTAAAATCCAATTTTGTTATTAACACACAATTTTGTAAAAAGAAACAAGCACATATACATTGAAGTGTATATAAAACAGACCTGGGTTACATTCCACAGAATTGGAAGAAAAATTCTTAGGAAGGTCTAGACTTGGCTCTACTGAAATACTGGGGCAGTTGGAGGTTGATAATGATTCTCCAAGATGATGAGGTGGAAAGGGAAAATCAGGGTGTTGTTATCATGGAGTTCACCTGTGAGTAACGGGAGCAAACAACAGTGTATAAACAGAGGAGTTCATCCTCCTACTTGCTAGAGTCCAAAAGAACCTGGGCTAGCAGGGCTCCACTTGCAGGGTAACCCAAGTCTAAGATAAGCCTGGTACTACATTCAAATCTAAACAGCCACAGAATGGGTTGGAAATGAACAGCAAGAGAATTAGCTGGTTTCTTTTGTGTCCACTGGTAAGAACAAGTACACGGGAGATGCATCACGTAGAACATAGGCAAGGCTAGTTAAGCCCCAGTAACACCACAGACCCAACAAAGGGCTCCCTGTGAGTAATAGGTGACAGTCAGACTGCAGAACACATCTGTCTTCCCAGAGGAAATAACCAGGGTACATGATGTAAATAAGAAAGGTAATCAAGCAATGTTTGAAGAAAAGCAGGCTGAAACTCCAGGAAGACATATGGGAGCTCCTATGTGAAAACTCTACCATTTAAAAGCAAGATCAGTAAACCCCTCCAAAAAAGGCCCAGAATTAAGTAATTATAAAAAACTTCCAGGGCTGGGGATTTAGCTCAGTGGCATAAGCGCCTGCCTTGCAAGGAGACAGTCGTGAGTTCGACCCCTGGTACCAATAAAAACGAAAAAGACAAAAAAAAAAAAAAAAAAAACTTCCACAGATAAACTAAATGTTAAGAACAGAACATTTCCTAAAAGTAAAGTGCTCAAAAACATTATTGATTCTAAAATCTTATACTAACCAAACTAAATGGCAAATCTCTTTCCTAAGTACACATATGTTCAATGATAATGTTTGGAGCCACTTAAGGAATTGTTGCACTGGTACAGTGCTACTGGTGTCTCCAAGGATAGAGGCCTGACAGTATATAGGACAGCCCTCTACACAGAAGAAGCACTTGCCCCAAATATTGAAAGTGGTAAGGCTGAGAATCCTGGCACATGCTAACAGAAATAAGCTGCCATGTCTACCTAAATACAAGCACAAAAGTGTTCACGGTTGTACACCATATATTCCCATGACTCTGGGAGCCTAGGGCAAGAGAATCACAAGTTTGAGCCCAGCCCAGGCAACTTAGCAAACCCCTGTCTCAAAACTGCTGGGCATGATGGCATATGCTTGTCATCCAAATGATTTAAGAGGCTGAAGGATAAAGATGTTTAAACCCAGTATGGGCAACTCAGTGAGACCCTGTCTCAAAATTTAAAAATAAAAAAAAAAAAAAAGAGCTGAGGATGTAGCTCAGAAGTAGAGCACTTGCCTAGGATGCATGAGTCCCTGAGTTCAATCTCCAGAGCTTGAAAACAATTTAAAACTACAAAACAATGGAGAAGCTGGAATGGTGGCTGCAATCCCAGCAACTGAGTAGCTGAGGCAGGAGGATCACTATGAGTTTGAGGCAAGCATCAGCTACACAGTGACTTTAAGACCAGCTAAGACCTTGTGTAATGACCTTTGTGTAATGACCAAAAAAAATGGAGCAAAGTCTTTTCAGGTGGACATCCACAAGCAAAAAGAAATAAACCTAGACACAGATCTTATTCCCATAAATCAAAATCATAAAAAATCAAACTACATCACATATAAATGTATAACACAAACGTATAAATTTTCTAAACAAAAACAGCACAAAATCTAGATGATGCTGGGCTTGATAGTAACTTTTTAGTATGGCACTGTATGTATAATCCACAACACATAATAACTAATAAGCTGGACTTCATTAAAATTAAAAATGACCGAAATTTAAAATAGGGGCACTGCCAAACGTTAGTGAGGACAGAACCCAAGGCCCATGGATGAACACACCAGGGTTTCCTAAGTTAAACTGAATGAAGAGGAATTTTCATGCACCACATTTAAAATATATAATTTATGTACATAATTCATACAATTTCCTTCATTTTAAAATATCTTTGTTATAACACAGGTATGTTAAACCTGCAGGGCAAAGGATGGTCACATGTAATAGCAATAGCAATTTTCTTTCATTTCTAGGAAATATAAAATTGTACAGCCATGCTATAAGAGAGTTTGGCAGGTTTTTTTTTTAATAACACTAAACACACTCTTACCATAAGATCCTATAGTTAAAATCCCTAGAATTTACCCAGAAGGAAAGAAAACTTAAGTCTACAAAAAAACAAATCTGCACATGGATGTTTGAAGCAACTTTATTCATAATTGCCAAAACTTCGAGGTGGCCAAGACATCCTCAATAGCAAATGGATATATACAATACATTGGCACATATATAGACAATAGAGCATTATTCAGTACTAAATGAGCTATCAAGCCACAAAGAGATACGTAGTTCAATCTGGCCTTGGACTATGTACCCAAGCTGGCCTGAAACTCATGGCAATTTTCCTGCCTCAGCCTCCTCTAATGCTGGAATGACAGACATGCACCACCACACCTGGCTAAGTAAGTCATTTTGCAAATATAGAAGTATGATATTTTGGGAAAGTCAAAACTTTGGATACAGTAAAAATGCTAGGAGTTGCTAGGCGTAAAAAGAAATGAAGAGGTACAAAGTATTTTTAGGACAATAAAACTACACTGTATAAAGCTGAGCATGGTGCTATACACCTGTAATTCCAGCTAATCAGACAGTTGAGGCAAGAAGAGTGCGGATTTAAAGCCAACCTGAGCAATTTAGTGACACTGCCTCAAAAAGAGGGTGGGGGCAGAGACGTAGCTTGTCCAGCATAAGTAAGGGCCTAGATTCAATTTACACACACACACACACACACACACACACACACACACTCTTTTCTATGATACTACAATGATAGATACACATCATTATACATTTATACATTTGTCTAGATCCATTGTACATACAACACTGAGAGTAGATCTAAATGTAAACTATGGACTTGGGGTGATCAAATATAATAAATGTACTCCTCCAGTGGGACACATTCATAATGGGGGAGGCCATGCATATATGGGGACAGGAGATGTACATGGTATCCAATTTTTCTGTGAATACAAAACTGCTCTTTTAAAAAGAATCTTTCAAAAAACTAATGAAATAGGAGATACTCATATAGGTGTAGAACTGTTCATTGTTTCAATGTCTGTAGTAACAACACAATGAACACAAATTTCCACTAGAAAAATAACATACAAATATGATACATTCATGCTACAGAGATACTTACAAACTAAAGAACAATTCTATACAATATATATGATATCTATACAAAAAGAAATCTTTTTAAAAATTATTTCATTTATTCTTGCCTTGCAGTTTTAAGTTAGAGCCATGTTCAGGGCAGCCTCAAGTGTTCTTTCTGCCTCAGCCTCTCAAGTAACTAGGACTACAGGCATGGCCACAGCAATTGACCTAAATTGTGTGTGTGTGTGTGCACGTGCAAGCACACATATGTGGTGACAGAGACTGCACCCAGAGCTTCACTCATGCTCAGCTAGCACTTGACCACTGAGTCACTCTTCAGAACTCTAAAATTTTTTAAATGTTGAATTAAGCAAACTTGACATTTTACCTGACTGCATATTATACTCAAAAATAATTTATTCAATTATTTTTAGAGAATTTAAGCTATTTATATGCCAAAAGAATAGGAGCTTAGAGCAGGTCAAAACTGAGAATCACATCTAAAAGCAAGAAAGATACAGGTCCTTGGTGGCAGGGGTTACCAGGTGGAATGGAGGGGTCTCACAGCCAGGACACAGGGAAGTTGGCTCACAGGACTTAAACACCCATTGAAGAAACAGCTCAATAAAATGTGGCCCATTTATATTGTAGAATAAAAAACTGAGTGTTAAAACAATGTGCCCAAACATAAATATTGCACCAAACTAAATTTACAGGAAAATAGTAAACCTAACACCTTATGTTTCCTGTGGAAATGGTCAAGACAGAAACTATCCAAGCTGCTGAGCCAACAGTGCTCAGGCTGTGTCACAGCACTTCTAAAAAGTGAATGCAATTAAAAGGTATAGCAACACATATTGCATTCAATTCCTAGTATGGTATTACTGTGGATCACAAACTCAATTCTCTCCACAAACCAAACTGGATGAGAACCAAATCAAATTTCCCCACAAGGTTAGCGCTGAATCTAACCACTGAATTTGATTTGGTCCTTGTCCAACTCAGTATGTGATCACAATCATGGAATAATCAAGTTCATAAAATGAGGTACCACTGTACTGGAAAACACAACACAACATAACAAAAAAAAAAAACAAAAACAGGAGAATACAATTAAAATTATATTAAAAAAAAAAAAAAAAGAAAAGAAAGGCAACCAGGCAGGGCAGTACACACACACCTGTAATCACAGCACTCTTGGGAGGTTGAGGCAGAAAGAGCGCAAATTCAAGTCCAGCCGGAGCAACTCAGCAATCTATCAAAACTCTGTATCAAAATAAAAAATTTTAAAAAGACCTAGTACTGTAGCTCAGCATGAAAGTCCTTGGTTCAATCCCTAGTACTACAAAAGAGAGACAGAAAAGCAAGCTACTCTCATATGAAAATATAAAGTAGAAACCCATGTACATGATCCTATAGACAAAACATTGAAAAATAACACAAGAATATCCACAAAAAATGCAAATGGCAGTTTTTTCTGGGAAGTAAAGTGGGAGCAGTAAAGGAATCTTTTATACTATGAATATATTCCTGCAGTATTTGTGACAATAAAAATAACAGGAAAGAGAGAAACAAAGGGAAGGGAAGGACAGAAAAAACAAAATAAGGAAGAAAGCAGAAGGTGCGAGGTGTGAAGGTAAAACCAGTTTGCAAAGTGGAGGAATGTAAGACTAAAACGATGAAGGGTGGAGAGGAAGAAAAGGTAAGTGTGTGTGTATGTTTACATATATGCTAAAATGGCAAAAGTGGACAAGGGACATACAGAAACGTTTTTACTCAATAACTGAGTGTTTTAATACTATGTTTGCAACCTCTCTGTGATACTGAAATTACTTCAAAACAAAATAAAGGGGGGATTTAGCTCATCGGTGTAAGTGCCTGCATGGTGGGAATGAGATCATGAGTTCGATTCCCGGTACCAAAAAATAATAATAATAATAATAAAATAACCAAGGCTTTCCAGCACGACTCCTTACCTCGTATGAGGTACTGATATAATCTGGCCTTGTTTAAAGTTAGGGTTACACACTCCAGCACTCAGGCTTTCCTTTTAGCTGGCAAATGAACATTCTGTTTCCTGCCTAAAGACTGAAGGCTTAGCTTCCTCCAAGGCTTGGAATGCAGTTTCCTTCCCCAGTCCATCTTCACATGATCATTGCCTGTCCTTCAGACTATCTGAATGATCTTCCAGGGGGTTTCCTGATTCTATCACCTAGCCTCCCTTTTATGCACATAATACTCACAACTTTTTATGTTGATCCTCCTCTGAGAGTTGCCTGTTATCCTCTGTGGTCACAGACTCTGTCAGTCTTCATCACCCTTGCATGCTCTAGAAAATATCCTGGCTTAACAGTTGTGTTAGTAAGCTTTTCATGACCATAACAAACAAATTTGGGGGGGGGGGATTGTTATTTTGGTTAAAGTTTTAGAGATTTTAGATCCTAATTGTCTGGCCCTATTGCTTTGGACATCTAGCAATATATCGTGGCAGGAGCATGTTGGGGAACAATATTGCTCACCTCTGGGCTGGGAAGCAAAAGATTAGAAGAAGGGGCAGAACTGCCACTATCCCCTTCTAGGCCATCCTCCCGGTGACAAAAAAAAAAAACCTTCCCAAATCCCCTCTCAATAGTACCACTCTGGGAATCAAGCCCTTAACATGTGGGCCCCTAGGACACATTTATGACACAAGGTATTGCAATTATTAAAAAATGTTTATATGTATAACATGTATAATGTTTATATGTATAACTTCGTTGTTTGTATTTAAAGTACCACATCTCCATTTGGGACTACGATGCATGACTAGACACAGGATAAAAAGCCTGGTATCTCTGCCTTCATTTGGGCTTGTCATTTCTCTGGTCATCTCTCTGGCAGTCCACCATGACAGAAAGATCCACCAGATCACACTTTGACCAAGACTGCTTAATTATACTTACTTCTTGCTCCCTTTACCCATATAACTTTAGAGATCTTAAAAGACAAGGCTGAAAATGCTGGTTCCCTTGTCTTCCCAGTATACTTACACTGATTAAAGTTCCTTTCCTGCTTTTTATTATTATTATTTTCTTTTGATTTTGGAGTGAATGGCCAGACCTGATTTGTTGGAAGCCCCAGAATTGGAACTTTGGCATAGGATTCTAGTAATACATGTACTCCAAAACAAGGAAAAATTGTTTACATTTGGTAAAATATATCTTTTAGGTGCTGACAGGTGATAAGAGCACAAAATCAGCAGACAACCTGCCTGGGATTGAATCCTAGCTTTCTCAACTTAATTTCCTGGTATTTCTTTCTTTCTTTTTTTTTTTTTCCCAGTACCGGGGATCGAACTCACAACCATGCACTTGCAAGGCAGGCGCTTATGTCACTGAGCTAAATCCCCAGCCCCTATTTCCTGGTATTTCTTAACACATTTGAGACCACAGGTACATTTCCAGTTTCCTTACCTGTAGAACAGACTCATGAGGTTTGAATGATTTCACACATGAACTGCTTAAAAGAGCACCAGGTCAACAATGGTAGCAACTAATATTCATTAATTTCAAAGTTGTTTTTACTTAAGTATTCTCTGTTCACTTTGGGGGTAAGGGGGATTTGGGGATTGAACCCAGGACCTCACACACAGTTACATTCCCCAACCCTTCAATTTTTTGAGTCAAGGCCCTGATAAGTTACCTGCCTCAGACTTCCAAGTAGCTGGGATCACTTTTTTAAAACATTGCTAATTCAACACTGAGATTTCAGAAAAAATAAATAAAATAAAACATTGCTATTGTACTGTTCCCAGTCAGTGTCCTCATTTTGTTACTTACAGCCTAGCATAACTCACTTTGCAACCATTCTTTATCTTCAAAAAAAAAACTGCACCACCTGAAAATCTCTCTGATGGGGAAAATTTTTCTAAATTTAAACATTAACAAATTCATCTGACACCGCTTTGCCTCAAAGGACACCTTTTTGTAGTGCTTCATATCATAGCTCTTATGAAGTTCTTAAATGTGGAAGAAATCCCACTTTCCCTTTCACTTCTTTTCACACCAGCCCTTCACCACAAGTCTTGTCATTATCCTGAGTCTTCAACTTGTTCCTCTTCCGGGTTTTAGCTGGCCACACTCCTTCTGGGCTTCTGTGAATATATAAGTTCCTTCAACATGTATATACTGTACTGTATCCAATTTACACTACTCACTGCAACTACGGACTCAAATATAACAGTATTCCTGGCCTGAGGACACATCACCACCATCCTCTGGAGTGCAATGGGTTCAGCAATCGCATCACTGTGAAATCTTCCCTCTCTCCAGTCATCAATCATTCAAAAAGCGCCAGTGATTCATTACCCTCACCCAGGTCGCTCCTTTATCATTTGCACCCTTCAGCTCCTCTCTTCTCTCCTTTCCCTGTCCATTCACCTGTTCTTGTGCGCAGTTTTACTCAATTACGCTTCCTCTCAGACCAAAGCTTTTCTAAAACAAAGAACACATCATTTGTCTTTCCATTGTTAGCATCAGCCTAAAGACCCGCACACACAGAAAGGCATTAAGGAACCTCAGAATTCTAGACACACGGCGGTTAACTAAGTATAAAGCTATAGGACACAAAATATCAAAACGAACATTGCTGGCCTCTGGGGGTCAGATCTGGACAGAGACTAGAGGCATCAGGTCCAGGATGTGACCGTGAAGGGATAAACATGGCCACCCACGGTTTCCAGTAAACTTTCGAAAAGCGAGAGAAAACCCTACTTACCCAGCACGCAGCGGTGTGGAAGCTGACAGCCATCGCTGCAGGCCACCAGCACCGAGAGGGTGCGGCCTGAGTCGCTCACAGGGACGCCGCCTCCAGTCTTCCAACCTCGCGGCGCGGCACCGAGACGCAGCCAGGTTCGTCGTAACCAAAGCAACCATTAGCTGGGCCTTACAAGCTCTAGGCTTTCCAGGCTGGGATACCTGCCTAGCCACAGAGCCTCCCACCAGGGGCGGTCTCGGAGTTGGAAACAGAACAGCTTTGGGGACAGCAGAGAGCCAGAAAGCCGCGCAGCAGGAAGTGCGTCATCTCGATGCGTCATACACAGAGCCACCGGAAACCACAGAGCGACGCTCTTCTTCCAGAGTCCTATTCCGAGCTCGTGTTTGCAAGCTTCTTTCTCCAGGTGGCTCGATCTGCGGAGCCAGAACACCCAGCTACCACAAGAATCAACGCAGACCCTGAAGGACCGCTGCCTAGGCAGAGGGCGCAGGCTGCTCAAGCGTCACTGTGAACAAGACAGTACTCAGACCAAAACACATTGCCAAAAAGAACGCTTTGTAACATTGTCAGGCAGGTGGTGTTGAGGGGGTCTTCGACGACCTCCGGTCTCCACACTACCCCTAGCCCCGCCCCTTCTCTCTAGGTCGCTCATCGTCACTCCCGAAATGAACAAAGAAGGGGGTGAGACTGGCTTAGAGCCCAAGGCCCCTCCAGCAGAGAAAGAGGAAGTCAAAAGTGAAAGTAGTGCAAAGCAAAAGTTTTATTTACTTGTGCGAAAGTAGAAGAATTAGCTGCCTTGCAACAGTGTGCTGCAAGGCGGGAGGAGGTTTCCTGAGATCGAGACCGCTGTAAGCATAGTGTTGCTGGCAGCCGAGTTAGTTAAAATATTATAGGCAGTAAGACAGGACTAGATCCTCAAAGGAGCTAGTGCAGATACCGTACAACTGTGGGGCAGACAGACATCTCCTGCTGTGGGCCAGGCCTCAAGACAAAGGCTCAAGCAAATGCATCCATATCCTAAAGACTAATATTCTAATTAGTTCCCTAACCCTGGAATCACTACCATCTCCCTAAGGGAAAGGTCACAAACTCTAAGAATGCCCACTTCCTACTTAACTTGCTTTCCCATTTGTCCCTAATGTAATTAATTTTATCTGAACTATTAATCTTATTGGCTAACTGCAGTTATATCCCACCTTATTCCCATCTGCCTTGTGAGTTCCCAGTCGCCTCCCCCCGCCCCCACGTTAAATCCATGGTTTTACTCTATAAAAGTCCTAGAAAAGATAGAGTCTTGGACAACCCACCCAGGACCTCTTCTGTCTCTCTTCAGACAAAAGCTTTCTTTCTCTCAATAAATATTTCTACTCTTAACCTCCATTGTTCCTAAAATTCATTCTTTGATTTTAGAGAATACAAACTCGCAAACATAGTAGGTCTGGAGTTTCACTCCCCTATATCAATAGGACTAATCTGGTTTCTAAATTAACTTTCTCTGATTGATATAATCTAGGCCAATCAGGGTCTTGGCCTTTGTTTCTGGATTAAGGAAAAAATTAGGGGCCTAGGAGTTTATAGCAAGTGCATATTATAATTTCAGAAGGGCTAGCTTCCTCAACACATACCATAGCATACCACAAGCTTGTGGTAAATATACAACTATTACCCACCCAAGTGTGGTCCTACATCATCTCTACCTCCTTCTCTAGTAAACTGCAGCATTAAGCAACAATTTTGCATATCAATGCAAGAAATCAGTACTTCAGAAGGAAGAAACTAGTATGTGTGAAGAGCAATAAATAGAGGCAAATAGCAGGAGACATATGAATCTTGGTCCAGAATGGGTAACAATCCTGTCTGATAACCATACAGTAAAACTATAAATAGCAAAACACAAAAAGCTTATCCTAAAGAAAGAACTTTACAGCTTGCTATTATACAAGTAACGAAATGGGGAAATACAACACTAGACAATACATAAAATACATGGCTGGGAGAACCAATCGAGATTGAACAAATTTGTAATCCCACCACTGGGGACACTAAAACTGGAGACACAGCCCTGGCAATTTAACAAGACCCTGTCTCACAATAAAAAAGAAAAAAATTGGGGCTGGAGATTTAGCTCAGCAGCATAAGCACCTGCCTTGGAAGCAGGCAGTCGTGAGTTTGATCCCCGGTACCGATAAAAAGGAAAAAGGCCAAAAAATAAAAAATAAAAAAATTAATAAGTGTTAGGAAGTAGATCAGTGGAAAAGCCTTGAGTTCAGGAAAAAGGCCAAAAAATAAAAAATAAAAAAATTAATAAGTGTTAGGAAGTAGATCAGTGGAAAAGCCTTGAGTTCAGGAAAAAGGCCAAAAAATAAAAAATAAAAAAATTAATAAGTGTTAGGAAGTAGATCAGTGGAAAAGCCTTGAGTTCAGTCAACAGTATGGAAAAAAAAAAGAAAGGCAAGACCTAGTGGAAGACCCCTAAGTGCATGGTGTGCTCTCCTGAAATACTTCTCAATAAACGTCTTGAGTTCTTGGCAAAGTATTGTTATAAAAGCCTGATGTTTGCCCAACTTATCTCTGAGATGTGATACCCCAACATGTACTCCTGCTATTTCCATACTCCATCCACCATGAAGCCCTCACCACAATTGAGTCAAAGTGGGGAACATGCCTTTGAAACTCCAAAACTGAATTAACCAGCCCCACTTCTTTTCAGTAGTATTGGACATTTATCTCATGGAACACTAGGTATAACGCCATCCTTTTTTATTTTAAAATACAGTCTTCAGACTTCTGGAACAGTCTGAAACTTGTGATACTCCTGATTCAGTCTCCTGAGTAACTAGTATTACAAATATGTTATATCAAGCCCAGAAATCCTCTTTTTTTATGTATTCTGTTTATTCCAAGTCTGATTAAATTATTTTCAGCCTTTACTGTGATGCGAGTCAAGGGTTTTTTGGTTTGATTTGTACAGAGATCACAAATCAGCAAAATATAACTCTAATAGTGGCTCTAGGCTTTGTATGCTAATTGCCCTCACCACCCTGGGACTCTGAGAACCTACAGACCTCACCCCTCACTGTTATAGGGAGCTAAGACAGAAATTAATATACAGTCAGAAAGGAACTGGGCTCTTACGGAAATCAGTGACAAAGATATCAGAATTGTGGCTGGAGGTACATCTGAACAAGGCCAGGCCTCAAGATAAATATGCAAAGGCCTACATGCCTTCCTAAAAGATAAACAATAACTGTAATTATACTGTAATTAGCACCTAAGCCTGGCCTAATAAGTCAAGCTAGGTACCAGTCACCCAGTTGGGTGACAACAGCATCTGGACCCATCCCTTCCTAAAAATGTCTTTGTTATGTCCATGTATCCATGCTACATGACTCATTTCTCCATTGAGTCAATATTATCTAAGTAGCTATACTTGTAATCTTATAGGTTGATTGTTTTGACCCATATTGTACTCACAGTGTGACTTTGCAGAATAAATTACCACTAACAAAGGATCTTAGAGGCCACCCCACTCAGGACTTCTGGAAATCCAGGAGCTATTTTTCTCTTCATAAACTCTCCTAACTTCTTCCTTTGGTTCACAACTTCAACTAACCCTAACCCTAACCCTATTTGATATCTAATGGGTCAAAAGCTGTATTTCTCCTATAGATTATGTCTCTGGTTGCTATTGCCAATCTCAGTGGATATTTGCTTCTGGGCTCTGAAATTCCTTGGTACTAGCATCTCTGAGTGTCTATAGTCTTTGATTTCTGCTAGGTGTTGGGTACTGAAATCTAGGCAGTGAGCTACTCTGTCCACATTACTTGAGAGAGATTTTCAGAATCTTCCAAGCCCACAAAACCCAAGAACTCAGGAATAAACTTACAAAGTCACCAAATAAGTCTTTGTTTCTTTGAGCCTATGCTACAACATGGAGGAATGGTATTAGCAAACAAGAAGGAGACCTCCTAAACCAGAGAAGTATTGGACGAATGCTGCTTATATAACACAAGTATAACAGAAAAAAGCCCCCCAACCAGTGTACCTCAGTTTCTTATTTTCCCAGGTAATAGTCCCTATTCCAGTTCCAGTTGGTTCTGTATCTTAAAAAAATAGCTGGTCACTATGATGCACGTTGTATAAACCAATCCTCAACTGACAAGCCATTCTGCCTCTCTACTTCCACTTGCTTATCCCATTTAAGCCCTAGCCCACCAGAGATTGGGGGCTGATATTTGGGAAATGATTCAGATGTCATTTCAGTGTCACTTCAGTGTCAGTGTAAATAAATCTACCTCCAAATCCCGAGTACTGTTTCAGTGTTTCTGCTTGCCCTTGCATCTGGTGCATCTGTTGAGAAGACTGACCATGCTGACCTCTTTAGTCACTGGTCATGACCCTTGCAGATAGAGGAAGGACTTTTCCGTGTCCTGAGGGAAAGGTACATCCTTGAGATTTCTCCAGTTCCTTGGAGGTCTGGAGGAGGATTCCTGTCTCCCTGCTCAAGAAGTTCACATTGCAAGTTCACCCCAAAGGGAAGAGGATGCAATCTGCTTATCTGTCTGTCTGCCTGCCTACTTCTAGTAAGGATACATGGGGCATCCCAGTTAGTCTGTCAGCCCTGCTCAGCTCAAACAAAAAAAGAAACTGATCACCTCTTGTTAGTACTACCCTCAAGGGAAGGGGGTTGGAATGTTTAACCTTTGAGTGCTGAATGAATGTGTGGGTGAGTAAAATGGCCAGTGTAAGCAATATGCAGATCTGCTTGTGCACCAAAACTGAGAAGTACTGGTCACAGTGGCTGACTGGGCTCTTACCTGCAGTTCCCTGGCAATCAGTTCCACAGAAGCCTTGCATCCTCCTTAGCTAAAATTGCACCTAAATCCCCACAAGGGGTGTAGCCAGCCAGGTATCTATGAATGGTCTCTCTCTGAGAGGTACCCACCCTTTGTCTCTTGCACCATCATTCAAGGGTACACAATACAAACTGGAAAGTCAGGTATAGGAAGTAATTAGTCAAAACTCACAGTATATGGCTACAGGTAAAGGGACTTTTCTAAGATTACAGAGTCAAAAATGAAACCAAACCACTCCCTATGTCTCAAAGAAAGAAAAAAGAAAAAAGAGACCTACTGTTCCTGAGAATTCCACCTTGACACCCTCAACAGTTGCTGCAGTTACTGCCAACAGTTTCACCTTCCTGCTTCCAACTCATCTACTTCCATCCCATTGAACTGGTTCCAACTAGCTGTTGCCTGCATTCATCCATAGAGCCTCCCCTCAACATTCTGTTTCA